CTTGTACCCAATTTGAAAAGTTCAGTACTAGCTGGGCTCAGGGTGCTAGGAGGAGAGCATATGGGCTGGGTGTCCTACCAGACTATGGGGTGAGGCAGGGAAGATTTCTGGACTGAGAGAAGCTGACAGATGAGAACTAGGAAACAAAGGTCTCATTTTAACTGTATTTATGGTTCCTTGTTTGATTGAGGGCTTCTTTTTAGTGATTTGGTGCCAGGTTTTCCTATCTACCCCTTGATGTCCCATATGGTTGGTAAACACTTAGGATGAGGAAGTTGRTCTTCATCAATGATATCATTCTGGTTAAAATCCAAGGTCTCTGAGAAAGTTCCAGGATCAGACTAAACCTGGTAACAGCTTCCTGCTTAGCTATACATTGTTGACTTGCTTTTGGCGCGTCAAYAGACGTTTGAATTGGGAGAAATGCCATCGTGAGTTGTACTAATAATTGAACTTAACAGTATCCCACAAAGAAGGCTTTGTTCTCGGATCATGTGTGACGATTATAATTCCAACTGGAATAAACAGACTACTGATCGGCCTCAATCTGAGATGTTCTGTAGAACACGCTGGAGGTACGGTGATGACATTATGTACTGGGGCAGAGAAATGTCCATCTGCATTTTCTTGGAACATCCACTTTAATGTACACATTGTACCTGGAATGATAAAAAGCAAGACAGATATTCAAGGTCTGTATGGGTTTGGGCCTGCAGGTTCTTTGTCTCATCACCTTCCCTCCCCGTCTCTGCTGAGTTAGTCATGAGACACTGAGAGAGTAGCAGTTCACAACTCGGCCTCAATTCAGGAGGTCTGCCAGTCCTTTGACCCCAGGATTCTGCATCCAGAAGCTGCCAAGACCCTGTTGCAGGGACCGCTTAAACTGACAACCGTTAGCACCATTACCTCCTTTCTGAGCCCCACCCTCCAACRACACCTCTCCTGGGCCAATCTCCCAGGGTCCCGTCTGTCTGGGGACCTTCGTTTCTGCTGGCCTGCCTGTCCCCCTTTCAGAAGCCTCGATTGCATCCTCCAATCACGTTGTCTTTGCAGATCTCTTTCGCTTTTCAGAGTATTTTCATGTATGCACGTTCATGGGGGACTCCCCATTTCCCTGTGAGCAGGCGAGGCAGGTGGTTGGTCCCATAATGAAAACTAGGAGCATTGTAGCTAGAGAGGTTGACGTCTTGCCCAACATGTAGAGGCAATTGTGGGCACCCATTTCCATTCACTGTTCATTGTAATACTTTTTTTTTTCTTAAAAAATCTTAAGAAAGGAATCATCTAGGGATAGAGAATGAGGAACAGTAGAGCAAATTAATGTGTGTGTGTGTGTACATATATATATATATATCTCCCCACCCCATGTTTATTCTGGGGTGGGAACATAGAAGCTTTGTCCTAACTTTGTGACCATTTACCAGGCCCACCATAATACATAAGAATAGTTTATGAAGAAGGCCATGATACACTGGAAACTCTCACCTCAAAATGGCTCTAGAAGAAACTCCATCCTTGAAAAATTCCACTGAGGAATTCCATAGGAGGCATCTGAATCAACAGTTGCTGGGTATCTACATCCTTGAGGGTCATGAAGAATCTTTGTTATTACACGTGACCCTTCTGGTCTTTAAAGTACATTTAAGTAAAATGTTGTCTTTTCAAAAGAAAAAAGTTGTTTCTTTCTTGGGTCATCTGGATTTTTGAAATCTATTGTTTGAAACATTTCCCTTGGAGTTTGTTAGCTGTTAAAAAAAATGTATTTTAGATATCTGCGTAATGCTATTGTTTAATGAAATGCAGTCTACACAATATGATTGATGGGAATTTCTTTTTCTATTTCCCTACCTTTACTTACAGGCTAGACACCAGTTTTTTCTCCACAATTGGTAGCCAATTACCTGCTTTGTGTGACATGCACAGGGTTTCTTTCAAGTGTTTTCAGTTCTTTTGTGCTTTATTAGTCAGAGGTATGGACGAGGAGAGGGAGGGTTTGAGACTAAGTTTTTCAGCGCAAGCAAATGGAAGACACACAGTGAACCTGGGATACTTGAAAATTCAGGGAGAAACAATAACTGGGACTAAATGTTTTCCAAATGCATGCCGTGATGGCGTGTCAAGTGCCCGTGCATGAAGATTACTGAACATCGTGCACTTGCAGATCTCTATCTTGAACAAGTGTTTCTTAGAATAAAAACCAGAGGATATGTATTTAAACCCTGTAGTCAGTGTTTAAGCTCCAATTTCTCTCCTAAAATCATAGGTCACACAGTGTTATTTGCAGCCAAGAGTGTGCTTGTGGGAAGCTTCAGAATTCATTAGGTGGATGAATCACGATTTGCAGTGTACCTAAGAACATTGCATTAGCAAATGAAACCTCCATTATAAGCTCTTGGGGAAGGTTTATATTTCAACTTTACAAATTTGAGTATAAGTTTAAATGATTTTATTTTATATATCTATATTTGGTTTATAAAGACTTACTTGGTGTCTCTGGTTCCTATTTGACACTCAACTATTTTATAGACCAAAATAGTTCTAAGGAGAAGCTTGCCTAGGGGTGTGTGGGGAGTTCTGATGGAACCTCTGTTCTATCCCTGCAGCTCCATCCTAAGTGGTTTAACTGGCTCCCTGCAGGGAGTAGAGAAAGGCTAGCTCAGAAGGCCAAGGGATTAACAGTTCCCCACAATGTTTTTGATAGAAAGTCTAAGTCCAAGTGAAGACAGTAAAAAAAAAAAAAAAAAAAAAAAAAAAAAAATGACCTAATATTCTGCAGTTTGTAAATTTAGAAGGGGCTGGATAGATAAAATTTCAGGGGTGAGTATGTGTGTGTGGTGGTGGTAGGGGGAGTGTTTTAAACCCTGAGAGGTAGTTGTAACAGGTATTATTGTTCTCATTTTAAAGATTTAAGGGATGTAGGTCTGGGTCAAAGGCAGAGTCATTTTCCTGTGGTCTCCTGGCAGAGGGGAGCTGGCCCTGGAGCCGGAGAGCATGCCTGGCACAGTGACTCTTACAGCAAGCACTTGTTTACCCTTCTCTTGAAGAAGAAAGTGAAAGTGAAAAATCTAGTGTCTCTCTTGAGGTCCGTCACAAGGGAAAAGCGACTGGAGACTGCCCCTGCTCCCAGGTATCGCTTATTCTCTATACTAGAATCATAGATGTTTCCCCATGCCTTTAAACACCACTTGAAAATGTTTTTCATGATTCTGCCCCATCTCATTTACCAAAATTCGTTTCAGTGTCTGTGTTAGACAGTGAGGTTACTTTCTAGTTGTTGCTGTGATAGAAAAAATCAACTCCTTGGAGAAGGGAGCCGTTCACACCGGCAGGAAAACAAGTCTGCCTTAAAAGGTTGRCCATGGTTGCTGATTCATCAGGACCCGTAGAGTCACTTCAGATGAATACATATTTTTTWAAAATAATATGATTGTGATGTTAGTTTACTTTTCAAATGGAGAAAATGAGTGAAAAAGGTCAATGAAAGGCATAGATGTCACCATCGTGTCAGAAATATTCTGAGCATAGACTTTCATGTCATGATTTGCCGAATGGTGCATGGAAAAAAAATTTTAACCTAGCAGGCTGACACAGAAATGTTTAAATTTGAAAAACAGATCATTTTGTAAGAGTCATGACTTTGTTGAGGAGCTCATGTATTTTTTGGGCAATGCACTCCTCAAACATTTGAGCTTAACTTTTTTATTTTTGTCTTGCAAATAGAAAAAGGCTCATCAATCATGAGCAAATAGGTAGAAAGTAAGGAGCCAGTTTTCAGATTTCCTGATTTTATTTGCCGGAACTATATGGCCCCCCAGTATCTGCAGGGTTTGGTTCCAGGACTTTCTGTGGATATCAAAAGCCACAGATACTCAAGTCCCTTGTACAAAATGACACAGTATTTGCTTATAACATACACACATCCTATGGATATATAATGTAAATATTGCATAAATAGTTGTTATACTGTATTGTTTAGGGAATAATGACAAGAGTAAGAGGTCTGTGTATATATCCAATATAATCCCGACCATCAAAGTTCTAACTTGTTTAATACATGTCAGTGACTTTTTTTTTTCTGGATATTTTTGACCAAGTTTAGTTGAGTTGGAATGTGTGGAGCCCTTGGATAGAAGGGGCCTACTCTAGAGCCTCCAGTTTCTTGTGGGATGTGAGGCTGGCTTGGGAGGCAGAGAGGAGATGCTGGAGGTCTCCGTGACAGTGTTGGTTCTCCCACATTCCTGGTTAGTCTCGTGTCTTCACCAACAGCCCAAGGTCCAGGCACAAGAAGCAATGAGGAGCAGCAGTCTGTGCTTGAGCTCTCCCTCTTTCCCYCTGGGGTTTCCATTTTAAAATTCAGTTTCTTCTTTCTTCAGTTTGCCACTGTCTTTTTCCTACTCAGTCCCCCTCCGTCAATTCTCCACCAAGGCCTCTGTTTGGGGAGGTTCTCATTTCCCCAAATTCTTTGCTGTCTCCATTCAACAGAAATCCCCCTGACTTTCTCAAAGTCGACACTATCTTGTCTTGTTAAGCCTGTTCCTAGATGTGTCATGGCCTTAGTCTTACTTTGATTCTGCTCCAGTAGCCGGTGGCAGGGTCACAGAATTCCATTCAGCTTGGAAGGAGGGAGCCTCTAGATAAAAATGGAATTCGGAAGTCACACAAGTTAAAAAATAAAATAAAATAAGAAGAAAGCCTTTGCCGTGTGTGCACAAGTGTTTCTTCTCTTCCCAGCTGATGGTGGATGGGATGTGGGAGCATACTTGAATAAGCAAGCCCTTGACTTGAATAAACTCAGGATGAAATCATGCATAATTAACTGCCTATCTCTGCATTCTTTCCACAGTGATGGCTCTTAGTATTCACACTTGTGSTAACTTACGTTTCCTGAGTACGAGAATCCAGGACAGCCAATTAAGGAAGAGCCAGTGGTGGGTCTGTCATGCAGCCTTGGTGCTACTGGAATGGGGGGTAACTGCTGTCTTTTTTCTTTTCAACTCCAGTGCCTGAAACAGTACATGCAGCTGGCAATCCGAGAAGGATGCGGGTCTCCCATCACTTGCCCTGACATGTTGTGCCTACACCATGGGACCCTGCAGGAAGCTGAGGTATGGGGCGTCTGCCGCAACCTTCCCTTCTTTCCTGTTGACGTGATTTGTTAGGATCTTGACTCCACCCACCTCCCTACTAGGGAGGCTAGCAATGAAATACAGAGGTTGATTTTTAAAGGAGGACTTTATTGCTACATACTGTTGGATTCCTTATACAAACTGTTAAAGCTGCCATGTAGCTCRGGTCTATTTATGTCTGCTGTCTTGTGTGTTGAAAAAGTTCTAAAATAGGTGAAGGCACTAGAGATCAGACTGACCAAACGTGAGGTGTGGAGGCTGAATCACGAGTGGTCTTGTGATCTCGAATACTTTAAGGACTCGTAGGCCATAGATTAGCCATAGTTAGGGAATATATAAACTATTTTGATTCTACAATGGTAACTTGAGTTGAACTCTTTCCAAAGAGCAGAGAGAGGTCTTTTAATCTATCTGTATCAGGCATCAGAAATGTCTTTCTTTTACAATGAGTTACCCTGTTTTCCTAAGATGGTGATTTATCTCATTCTGTTGTTTGTTCAATTTCTGATCTCAGCCTGCCCTTAAATATGCCTTTTAATCTTTGGTCCCTGTTCACGTTAGATTGGAACATAAGGAACTCTCACCCATTCTTAGGGAGTTTGTCAGCCTCTGAAAGGGGTTCAAGAAGCTGATGAAAGTCCATTCAGTAAACAGACACCTGCTTTGCACCCAGCACTCTTCTGGTTGCTTTTGTGGTCAGTGTATATTTAATTGTCTCAACAGACTTCATGGAATTGGATATTGTTTTGTTTTGTTTTTTCAGGTACAGAAACTGAGGTCCAGGGGGCTTAAGTAATTTACCAAAAAATGCCTATCTAGAAAGTAGAAGAACTAGAATTCCAGTCCAGTTCTTTTTGACCACAGTGATTGCATGGCTTTAAGAGTAGAACTAGGTGTAGGCAATAAAGGACTTGATAATTAGAAGGCCARTAGTGTGTATGTATGTGTGCAGATGTAAATGTGTTCATGTGAAGGATGTCTGTATGTATATATACATGTTTTATGAATGTGTGTGCTTTTACTTAGAGATCGGCTTTGTTTTGTAAGCAAAGTAGTCAGAAAGATGGTATAGACAATTTCTAACCTAACACAGGGATTATTCTGTGTTTAGCTTCTGAACTGTATCAGCTGAGTGGTACAAGTGAGTTAAAATTATTTTTCAGGGAAGCATAAAAAGAATCCATAATGATTTAGAAGTGATTCATTTTAAGAAAATAATGAAATAATAAAGTTTTGATGAAAAGTTAATTTTGAACATGTAAATCCTTCCATGAGGACTAGTGTTTACTTTTGTGAGGGTAATGAATAGGAGGAAATCAATGTGAGGGAAATTTAGGCTAACTACCAAGAACACTGTTGATCTTTGTAATTTAGAATTGCCCTTAAAACGAGACTCAAGTATTTGGGAGCTCCTGTCCATGCATAATCCGAGCAGGACAGAACTTCCTTTCTGCTTTGCTTCTCTGGGGTCTGACAGAGGTCACAAGTGTGCTGTGTGTGGGCCGGATGCCAAGCTGGGATGGAGCGAGGACGGGCAGGCCTGGCACTGCCCTGGTGGAGCTTCTGATTAGCATAGAGATGCTAAACAGATAACGTCAGATAGTTAAAGTGAAACRCGAGAGATGGGGCACACAGCAAGAGCTGGGTCTGGTATCACACTTACCTAATTCCTGTACGTAAGTTCTATTAAAGGTAAATGAGTAGTTTGGTGAAGTTTCAAAACAAGCCTATGAGATCAATCATAGGCCTGTGCTGTCAAAACCAGTAGTCCCTAGCCACCTGTGGCTATTTAACTTTAGTTAAAATTAAACAAAGTTAAAAAGTCAGTTTTTCAACTGGGCTAGTCCGTAACTGGTTAAGTGCTCAGTAGCCTCTGTGGCTCATGGCTGCTTCGTGGGACAGCATAGCATTGAATRGAATTGAACACTTTTGTCACTGCAGAGGGGGCTTAGTTGCATAGTGATGTCCTAGACTCTCCTTAGATAGTAAGCACTGACCTTTGACACTTTCARTATTGGGAGTTAGGGCTAATGTGTCCAGATGAGTGGGTGAAGGCAAGCTGTGCTTTCCACAGTTCTCTAGAACAGAGTCTACTCTTCTGATTTTCTTTGCATAGACATTTTCTCTTTAAATCCCCTTCCCCTTTGTTCYCTGTGTCCTTTTCCCACTGTGTACATTCTCACTCACACTTTCCTGCTTATACTTCTGTTTATTCAGTTTTACTGTAAAAGCAATTTTGCTTTTAGGCTGCATTAAAACCAAACAAACCCATAAATTAAAAATTATTTGAAAAACAAAAGAACAAAATCATATTCCAAACTAAACTAATTTTAAATTCTTCAAAGTGTTTTTCTCATTAGATGAGTAATAAGACACTCCAGGGCATCAGCAAGCCATTTCTATTCTCACTGGTCCTGCTAAGAGCCTGGTCAGAAATGAGCATCCCTGTACAATCGTCTAATGTTCTTTACCAATTTGCTACTTTTTTTTTTGCCCAGAGTGATAAATTGGTGTGGTGGTGATGGGGATTGTTTTCACTGTGAATTGAGAATTGAACAGAGAATAATAGTGGAGATCTGAGTAGCTTTATTAGCTTACATGGACTCCTTTGAAAGTAAATACCACACACATAAAAGTACCCCACACAGGGCTGGGGATGTGGCTCAAGCGGTTAGCGCGCTCGCCTGGCATGCATGGGGCACTGGGTTCRATCCTCAGCACCACATAAAAATAAAATAAAGATGTTGTGTCCACCGAAAAACTGAAAAATAAATATTAAAAAATTCTCTCTCTCTTCTCTCTCTCTATTTTAAAAAAAAAAGGTACCCCACACAGGTGAGCTGGGTGGTGCTACCTTCTTTCTAATTTGCTTGACTTCAAGACTCATGAGTCATTATGATGAAGCATACCTCTAACCTATGCATTTTTGAGTATATCACAATGGGGCTCATTCATATGATGGTTGGCTGAGTTTYGTCTCCATGACTACTACTTCCCTCCACTTAAAAAAAAAAAAACACGTTTATTTTATACAGGCAACACATAGACTTTGCTGGTTAAAAATATTTCTGGTTAAAGCGGGTTCCCTTTGTCTTGTCTGCCATTTATATTATGGTATAAGATTCCTCATTATTCGTTGTCTTATAAAAGGTGCTTAASTGTGACATCTCTCCACCTTGAAAAGACACTAGGAATTGAAGCTCTTTGCTCTGCACGCTTTCCTACCCAGATCTAGTTACCTCCTTGGCTTTAATCCCTGTGCCTGCCTTCCAAATTGGCTCTGCGTCTTTGTATTTCTCTCTCAGGAATAACCCCACTAGTGAAGCATTTAATGTCCAGTTCACACCCTGTTCATGCAGGAAACGGTGGAAAATGGCAGCTTCCTCGCCATGCCTTCCCTCTCCATGTCCTGCAAGCTGCTGAGAGATAGTGACTCAGGAYGACTTGTGGCTAGAGGTGAACCCTCTGGGAGCCAGAGAAAAGTAAAACTTTCCTTCATTGCATCATCGGRTATTTTCAGCTGTTGCTCTGCAGGGCTTTTCCAATGTACTTCATCCAAGAACCTTGTCCAACATGGAATTAGGAAGGCAGGACACAGATTGTCTGTTCTGATAGCAGTACTTCAAGCAGAGCTCTTGCTTGAAGTTAGCAGCCCTGTTAAAAAAAAGGCAGCATCCGATTTGAGCGGTTTCCTGACTGTGTCATGCAAGTCGCACACCCTCTCTTGCTGGAGAGCCCAGGCGGTGTGAAGTCAGATTGGCGAGTACCTAACCTGTCGGAATGGTGCCTACCGTTCTGTGGCCTGAGAAATTGAACTCCTTCCAACTGCCAGCTGGCCTGGAGGGCAGGAAGAGCTTCTCGCTCACCGATCCCCCTCCAAGTCCTGGGGCCCTGAGCAACCAGCCTGCCTTTTACTGCCCACGCCACCGCCTGCACCAGAGGAAGGGTGGAGACAGCTGCCCTGGCCAAGAACAGGCTTAGGATTTCTATAGAAAGGGATTTAGAGGGTGGCACCCTGGAGGCCTGAGGAGGAGTGGAGAGCTAAGGAACTGGAAGCTACATTTGCAAAATAAGTAGTTTTTTTTCTTAGAATGCACATTTATTCAGGGTGACTGAAAAGGCTGCGAGGGTTACAGGATCCAAGTGTCYCCCCAAGACCCCCAGCACGGCCTGCTCTGGCCAGCCGCCTTTMGTTCTCCTTCCTCCCCTTATCATGGTGGGAGGCTGGAGCAGRGGCCGGGGAGGAGCCAGGTGAGCGAGAATATTCCTGTTACTGTGGTTTGAGGATCTGAATCTAGGAAGGAATCGAGTGTGTCTAGAATAACCTTTATGGCGTGCCGTGAGACGTGAAGGCTGAAGAAAAGTTCAACTTTGGGGGTGGCAGGAGACAAAGGAATCTGCCAAACTAGAGTTCAGGGACATTTGTTGAGATTCCCAGCTAAATATCTTAAAGAACATATGGAAGACTCCGTTTTGAGATGTATTTAAAACTGCATGTAAGTGGAGAATAAGGTTTCTAAGATTCTTCGAAAACTAAAGGCAGTATACTCTATAGGAACACTTAGCAGTGACAGGTTGAGTGTGTCCTGTGGAGCTACAGTGTGTCCCRTAGGTGAGTGGAGGGGGAGAGCAGGAGGTGGTGGGGACCGGTGACGCTGGGTGACGTGATACTCTGTGCTGATCCCTGGCCCTGGACTCCAGTTCTCTCCTGTCTTTCCCTCCGCAGTGGGCTTGGCACCCTCTTTCCAATCAGGGTGTCATTTCTAGTATTAGGTGAGTTTTATTTGGGTGAATGTACCATTTTTCTTCTATGTTAGGAGGAACAGTTTTATTTCTGGGTTGAGATAGGAGGTACTCCTAGTTTCTGCCCTAGGGTGTTAGACACTGGCCCCTAAGGCAAGTCCTGTTTCACCTGCCTTTATTTTTGTGGGTTATAGTAACTCAAGAGTTGCCCAAAATTGGCGGGACGTAACCATCTG